GGACTGCTTGCCGCTTAAGTCAAAGATTTGAATACTTGCCCTGCATGGCTAAATAATATAACAAAATTAAGTATACGTTAACTAAAAAAAGGTAACATGTTTTTACCGCATTAATCTTTGAATACAAGGTTGAGACTTGTGAATGTGTAGAGTGCTATATATATATATATATATATATATATATGGATAATTCTTCTGTGAGTGTGTATGTCACTGAACTTCTCTCAAACGACTGGACCGATTTTGATGAAATTTTTTGTGTGTGTTCAAGGGGATCTGGGAATGGTTTAGATTCACAAATCAGCCCGGCAGTGGCCTGCAGTCGGTCTTCCTTTGCTTTTCCTTCGCTTTTTCTGCGGCGTCTGTGGAGTCCACTATTATATTATATGGAAATCTGCAAATATGCAAATATATAAAATGCAGATTTACTTTCAGATTTGCAAAAGATTGCATTTAATTTGTTATTATTTCGTGAAATGCACTGATTTCACTGAACAATAGTGTTAAATGGGACGTGAACGTTTCCATACATGTGTCAGACATAATGGAAATCTGTACATAACAATTCAGGAAACAATGTAACATTTAACTAAATGGCTGCTTTATGTAAGGATTTAATAAAAATAATTACTCTTTATTTAAAAGGATATAAATTCTACAGATATATTATATAAGTTAGATTGTTTTTCCTCTATCATAACTCCTAAATGTCTGCAAAATCGAATTCTAAGCGATGCTTAAATAATAGAAGTTACCAATTCGAAGTGTTTTTGAAGTTATACTGCTTTTAGCGCGTTAGGAAAAAATTATGAGAGTAAGTTTTTACGATGCGCGCGCACACCGTCACAAAAAACCGACACCCTGAAGTTAGCGTTTTTTCTACAAACGTAGAATAAAATTTATAAAAAGTTTTTTATCTTGTTACGCCAAAGAAGTTTACCTTCTAACGCGTGTACATAAGTAAACACACGTTTTTTTAATTTTTGTGCGTGTCCTTCAATATTATCACACCAGTCAGTAGAGTGATTTTTCTAAGAGTGTGACAATTGTCAAATGATTCGGATCATCTGCCAAATTGGAAAATTATTTCAAGGAAAGTATCTTGAGTAAATATTAAAATTCTATTCAAATATGTTCGATCACCTATGGTTCAATTTTAAATTACAACCACAATAAAATTTAGTTAAAATAAACACGTTATCTCTCTTCACTTCATATATTGCAAGTCAATAAACATGCCGCTCACCAAAACATATTGTTTTTAACTTAAAGCATTGCACAATATTACATGATATTGAACGTAAACATCCTACTTAACTTTTTACAAAAAAAACAATGCTATAAGTTTGTGTAAAAATAAAATGTAACAATACATAAAATATTTCCTTTCGAATAGTGGACTATATTAATAAAAAAAATCTCAAGGTATAATATAGTCTGCATGATCACTCTTACCAAGCCATCACTTCCGGGATGGACTTCTTTGACGCAACCTAATAGCCATTTAGTAGGTGGTAAGCTTAAATAGAACCAACCTTAAAACAATGATAGGGGACAATAACGGGTCATTGCCTCCTAAATAAACATCTTTTGGTCCTAGGCGCGACAGACAGCCCCCTGTGCAGAGGCTGTTTCAGTGCAGAGGAAACAGTCACCCACGTAGTCCTGGAATGCGTGGCTGTGGCTAATCAACGTGAAAAAATCCTCGGAACGGTGAGGTCGCTCCGGGAAGCCTGTGAAGTGCCCAGGAAACTTCTGTGCTTCTGGAAGGAGCTAGGCTGGCTAAATTAGCCAGGACTCGTACGCACAACGGACCAATTAGGAGTCTAATTGCGGAGAAAGGAGTCCTACTTCCCTAACCCTAACCCTAGTAGGTGGTAAGTCGTCCCATTTAATAATGACAATATCTCCAATATTTGGGGCTAAAATATTGTTTTGCCATTTATATCTTTGGTGCATGGTCAGATCCATCCAATTCCATCTTTTCCAAAAATATTGAATCATCTTTTGTATCTTATACCATCTAATCCAGCAACAAAACCAATCTTCTGGTCATCGTAATTAACATCAGGAATGCCTCTTAGGGGTTCTCCTATTAGGAAAAAATTTAGAAGCCATAGCTTTTGTATGAAAGTTTTTGCTATCATGATGACAGGAGATAACCCAACAGGGTCAAATAAACGGGCAATGTCAAACAGGATGCATCTATTTATTATAGGATAGGTAAATAAAGGTAAGTTAACTGTCATTTTAAATGCTCTTCTCTGCGATCCCAAATAAGTCCTAAGATTTTAATAACTTTGTCCAATTTAATTTCCAATGAATCTTCAATTTTGTTGTTTTCTTGAATGTGTCTTGTTGTATTACAGGACCAACCAAGATTGTATCGTTCAAGGAATACCCTTGAGAACCTTTTGCGGATGCATCAAAGACTACTCGAACCTTTGTAGTATCTTTGTCTTGCCTTACTACCGCATGATGAGGTAAATAAATTGTATTAGAGTCATTCTGATCTTCTAGCTCTTTCATATGACCCACATAAATATATTCTTTTATAACTTTTGTATATTCATCTTTTAGTAGTAAATCTTTAGTTAATCTTTTCACTAGATGCAGAAATCTCTTTATTGCTTGTTCTTTACACGTTTTACAATATATTAACCGTCAATGTCTCTTTGGTACTTGAGTAAATTCTTTCACATTCTTCTTCTTCCTTCGTGTATATAACTTTTCTTAAATAAATCTTTGTCAATTTCCCAAAAAGATTTCAGTAAATCATTGTCTTCTTTAATATGAATAACTGAACTAAATCCTTATAAATATAAGCTTTACCAAGATAGAAATTTTGAAAATCTATATTACAAATCTGTGGAAATTAATTATCTGGTATCGGTTACCAAAAATATTACCCGAAATGCGATTCATCATTTGCATTACGCTTTTCGTAAAAGGAAATCAAAAAAGTTATTTGAAAAGCTTCGATCACACAGACCATTAGTTACCGACAATGGCCTTTGACCATTGTCACTCACAAAACCACTAATTTGTCGACAGTGGTTCAATCAAATTTTTGCATTTGTGCCATTTTTCGCTCGTTGCACAGCGTGTGAATCCTTCATTATTAACATTGTTAAAATTCTGTGAAAATGCTACTTTGTGTATTGTCGTGGAGTAATTAACGTGTGCCGTTAAACTTTCTGTTTATACATTTATTTAAGTAAACATATATCTATAAAAAATACAGGTTATTAAATTTATTTAAAAAAATATTTTTGGCATGCACAAATATATTTTTAACATTATAAATCAAGTCAATTTAATATACCTAAGTAAAACTAAGGGTTATGTTACCTATACAATTTTCATTTACAACCAAAGTCGATCGGTGACTACAACTTGTCTCTGACCCAGAATGCTGGTTTTGATCTTAAACATTTGCAATGAGAAACTTAACAGACACAGAAATCTTTCTTTGTCTTTAAGAAACTGGACTTATATATGCATATACATAAATATATATCTCTTGTTTACCACTGTCATAATAAGTATGTATTATAATTACTGTTACGCATGTCCTCCACTCACGTGGAAAATTAATGATCTTCAAAAGTGCAAAACTTGAACAATAAACATGTTCTTATGTCAAGGATCATGATGACTTTTGATAGACAGAAAACTGCACCCTAGTCACCAGACTTAAAGTTAAAATTTGAATGCGACTACTTTTTGCAGTTTGTTTTAAGTTTTTACAATGTTTGTCCTCAGTACATTTTATACCATTATTTTTCCTTAATAAATAATGATTTTTTCATGTTTATATATTGTTTTTAAACACTGAGAAATTTGTATTTTTACTTATTTTATATAGACTTGTTACACATAATTTTAAAAAGTTTTGAAGACTTAGTCTCAACTAAGCCTGCTCCCACAGTTTTTACAGTTTACTTTACAGATTATCATGAATAATTACTTACAAATAGTTTATACAATAGAACAGCCCTGCGTCCCTTTCCCCCCCTTTTCGAACCCCCAGAGCGGTTTTCCCACCGGCGGCCGCTCTGAAACCAGTCGTGAAGCAGTCATTTTATGATTTGGCATTCTGATAAACAATAAACTACAAGCTCCTACCTTTTCAGAATGCCAAATCATAAAATGACTGCTTCACGACTGATTTCAGAGCGACCGCCGATGCGAAAACCTCTGTGTGAGTTCGAAAAGTGAGTTACAGAATCGCAGGGCAGTAACATTTAATTGTTGTATAATGTATGATTAGCAACGCTCCGTTGCTGTATTTGGAACTAAAGAAAAATAAGATAAGAATCGATGGGAAGGAAACGAATATTAAATTATTAACGATCTTATCGTACGAATAGAATTTGTGAGTTAAATTGGATAATCGTTGCGTTCTTCCTGTTTAAATTGACTTTAGGGCATCGATGGATACGTGTACTTTTCAAATCTTTAGTTAAGTTCGTATGGATTTTGCAACAAAAATATTTTATCTTAAAAATCACAGTGAATAAAGTATTAAACATTATGTACCCCTGAAATTTAACAAATAAGTAAATCTTTATCTTATTCAAATATTATGAAACCCAACATTTGAGTAACTGACAGTAGTTAAACTTTTTTTTATTTTGGCTTACATTCGTGCCAGTTAAATGTTATACTTTAACACGTACACCGATTTCATTAAATTATAAATCGAAGCAAAGTATTGGTCCAAAGTTGTTCTTAAAAAGTCAGGGGTTAAAAACATCAATACTCGTCTATTATAAATTGTAACAGCTACTTTCAAAATTCATACTTAAGAGGATCAGATGTTCAAGTCTCATTATCTACCTAAAGAACTGTAGACAAATCTTTCTGTTATTTACAAGTCCTTGACAAGTCGTTTAATCGCCGGCTTGTTGCTTAACTATAGGCTCTGCGATATTAGTTAAAGCCATTCACACAAAATACCTCTGCGAAGACAGTCGTGTCAAACGAAATAAGGGACGATGACAAAATTATTATTTTTTGTTGGTTTGTGTATGTGCTTTAAGGGGACGCTGCAACTAGTGCCCTTGCGTAAGTTATAGTCTATTTTACTAGTTGAACCTTAAGACTTCATCTACATATAGCAACGATCGCAGTCTATATTTTATATTGGTCCCATGTTAATCTGTAAAGAAATTTATCAAAAGCGATCCACCACAAAAATAAATGCAACTGCCAAAGGGTTGAATTACAGATTTCCAGTAAGACTAAATCATATTTACCGAAGAAATTATTGAAATAAGTATGTAAACGATGATAAATTTATTCTTATTAAAAACATATCGTTCCATAGCGGACTTCATCCATCCATGTGCAGAGCTAACAGACGAATGCTTTACCAAGGCAACCATAGATGCAATACCAGGTGTTGTCAAAGGTATTCCAGAAGCGGGGATTCCACCTTTGGATCCGCTATACTTGGATAAGAATATTACCATGGATCTCCCAGGAAACGTCAAGATGACATTTCACAATGGAAAGCTGTCTGGATTAAGTACTTGTCATCCAGATAAAGTTTCGTAAGTATCTATTATCTTCACGTATGTTTAAAGAACCCCGTAACATATGGAGCAGAAACATCTGCATCTGTTTCTTTGTGAGATTCAAACATGAAGGTAGGGAAAAATTTGCTTAAAACGAATAAATTATTTTCGAAATCGAAACAAGTGGAAGAAATTGTCAACATTTATATTTAAAAACCCTTTCTCTCTTCATGCCACGCCTTCCCTCGCCACAAAGATTTTTCCTTGAGCCGAATAATGTGACACAAAAATACATGCTCTTATTAATCTTCTGAATGTTTTAATAATCTTTATACTGATTTAAATATTAATTATTTTTCATACAATTATTTTGTTATTGAATTATTGAACAAATAAATTTCAATAAATCTGTAGTCATTTGTAAACTTATGGTGTCAAAAGTACATTCAAAGCGAATTACATAAGGCGTTGCTAAACACTAACCAGTTTTACACTCCGCGTTGGAACGACCTAAAAATCTATTGAATCGTATATACCTAATCCGTAATATATTGCTAATTAAAATTATGCATACATTAAATAACTGAATTTTGTTACATATATAAACTATTGAGAACTTCTATTAGCCGTACGATTCTATTAAGACGAAGTTACTACTGGCTTGGCATGCCAATTTCTCTATATTACAAAAGTCAAAATCATCACTATATTATTATTTCTTCTGAGTGAACCTAAACAAAAAAATCCTACTAATATTATAAACGCGAAAGTTTGTAAGTATGTATGGGTGTTTGTTACTCTTTCACGTAAAAATACTAAATGGATTTTAATGAAACTTTACAATCAGAATAACACATAGGCTACAATTTATAGAGATATTGTGGACATTGTCCAAAATATCAATTAAGTAGGAAAAAATATACCACCTGCGAGCTATTCTGGCGTGCGCTGCCAAAACCTCTAGGGTTACACATATGTAATGTATGATGGAAATGTTTATCTTAAATAGTCAATATCTTTAGTAGTTTTTTTCTACGCCACTCTAATATAACTACTCGAAATACTAATCCTGAGCAGACGAAGTCGCGGGCACCACCTAGTGTTACATATCTTTTTAGTTCACCGACATTTGACGTGAGTACAACATAAACATGAATAAATTGTCAAATATAGTCTTAATTACGCGTCATTCTTACTCATAATTCAATATGTATTGTCTATTCTATATCTCTTTTCTGTGTCATTACGAGTTAACAATATTGCCCTTTATTATTATTTGAGTTAAATTATATTTCTCGAAGTGGATCGTCCTTCATCATACATATATAAAATTTACATTCATAATTATTAATATTGATATATATATTTGATGAAAATATTTTTCATTTATTCATTTAAAAATAGTATATCATTAAATATGTAAATTTATAAATTTATAACACAAATCCACGTAACTATTATAGCAAATAGAAATCTTTGTTATTAACTTCACGCTAAGTCGACAAGGTTAGGGCGCGAACTCTGTGCGTTTATGTAAGCATTTATAAGAAAAACTAAAGTGTTATTCAAACATGTATGACTTTACATAATTATCTAACACAATACTGGGACAATATAAAAAGTTATAATTATTAGCATTAATCTTTAATCACAACATTCTGAAAGTCGTTTCTGTCACCGAAATACTCGTACTGGCTTAGAGGCAAGTGGCTAGGAACATGTGGTTTGTAAGGCTTCATATAATCAGTTCAACGAAGCAAAACAATGACTTATGAATTCTATAAAAAAATACTTTTGTCAGTTTTTTTAATTCTAACTAACAACTTTATTCATCTAATCATGCTACAAACGAATAATTTGTATTTACAATTTTATTAACCTACAAAGTAATAATAAAAATAATTAAAAATAAAATTAAAACAAATTTAAAAAGTTTGGTCCCAGTGTATTTTTGGTTTTATTCTTACTAACAACTAAATTTTGACGAAGATTTGTTTATGAATTTTTACTTTTCCCGCTATCATCACTATTTCCCTATTTTGAAGATGCTTATTTTTAGCCTTTAATTTATTATTTTCTCGTTATTACCTATCAATGTATATCTTTGGCTAAGGTTCAGCGTGAAGTTTTACAGTTTTATATATAACATTATGTTTTTAGATCTCGCCGTGAAAAGAGAACATTTTTCTTCGATATGCACTGTAACTTCACGATCAGAGGACAATACAGCATCGATGGAAGAATATTACTTTTCAACCTTAACACCGACGGAGATGCGAAAATTAAAATTTGTAAGTAATCAATACATGTTGAAGTATTCAGAACTTCGAAATTGTGTTTTATACACACGTATAATAACAATTATTTTGAATTTAATAATTATATACCAGCTCGAAACAGTGAGACTTCGTCAACTTTCACGTGACGATATTTCAAACTAAATCAATTAATAAACAAACATACTCGTATTACCCAAATTATTTTTATTAGGTACGTTTAAATTAGTCGAGGCAACCGGAAAGACCCTTATTAGAGACTTACCTCTTTTACTGATATATTCCTTCCTCCTTCTGAATACCACCATATATATGTCGTAGCCAACTAGCTTAATTAGCCTAGCCTTTTAACTAAACGGCGCCGTTTAACTTGCGACCTGAAAGATATTCAGCTGGCTAATGCTTAGGCCATTCGTACGATAGAGTCATTATTTGGCAGAAATAAAAAAGGTGAAACATATGACATAAAAAATATTTATTTTAAAATTAAATTGCTTGAGTCAACTTTGGAAAACACCATCCAAGTTGTGGTTTGCCGACGCCATATTGACAGTTTGAAAAGTTTCGTTTCGAGTTTGAGCGTGACAGAAGGTGCAATTAAATTTAAATTAACAGTCAACAGGCTAGGCTAGTAATGAAACGTCATCGATCCAAGTCATTTGCCTAGCTGTTTGATCAACTGGCTGCACATATTTCAGGCCACTAGTTAAATGGCGCCGTTTAGTTAAACGGCTAGGCTGTTAAGTGAACGGCTAATTAAGCTAGTTGCCTGCGACATATTCACATCGATATTTTCAATTTGTTTGTATCTATAATTTACTTAACTAAATCCTAAATCCTTTACTTAGCACGAAATGTTAAATACACTTACAATTAGGGTAATTATCCGTTTAAACTGTAACGAGAATATTATCTTCAGGGAATCAGCGAGTGCGTTTGGAGGTTTTCGAAAAGGTTGTCAAGGAAAAAGATGAAGAATGGCACTTCAAAATAAACTCGTACAAATATAAGGCTGATTTCGGAACGGATTTAAAACTAAACCTTACTAATCTATTTAGAGGCAGCCGAGAAATTAGTAAGTGATTTTTTATGTTATAAAACAATTAATAGAAGCGGTCTGATAGGACCATTGTGTGTTCGTTATTAGACTTTCTACTTTACTGGTCCAGATACCAGATAAAGTAATAATATTCTAGGATAAAGAAAAATAACCTACCTCGTTTATTTTTTAGGTGCAAACATTCTTGAAGTTCTAAATGAGAATTCCCAACTGGTGGCTCAAGAATTCGGAGGGCCTATTCTGGACTACGCCATAGATTATGCAATGAACGTGACACAACGCTTCTTTAGCACGTACACATACAACCAACTCAGCCATGTACCACTATCAGATGAATTCTTCGAGAAGAGTTAAATATAATTAAATTAATTTAGTTTTACGGGTAAAAATAAGGAAGATTCTTTTTCACTTTAATAAGGTTTGAAATCGGGGTGGGTAAAGCGAAAAAAAGCGTTATTTAGCAATTTTACAAGAATGTTATGTCGCCTTTAAGTAGTAGCTCAAAATTTCAACCCAGTTATGTTATATATTGCAAAAAATTACAAAACCAATAAGTAATCGACTCTGCAACGCAACAATAAACACGCGTAACGGTGTCTGTCACATTAAAAAAAAAACTAATGTGGATTATATAATATATACTATTTATAAAGTAGAAATGTGACAATAACAAAATGTCAACTTATATACCGCACATTTAAAAGACAAGTATCCAAAATCAAAGATTTGTAACACAAGTTCATGATTGTTAAACAAAAAAAAAGGGTGCGTGTACTTATGTACGCGCGTAAGAAGTTATACTTCTTTGGCATTATTCAAAATGGTTTTTGATTGCAAAAACCAATTTGAAATAATTAATTACAATTAAATAATCAAAGACTGGAAAAGGAGTCATTATAGTCAATAAAGTTCAGTTTACATTTGAAAAATTAAATAAATAAATATTATTATTATTCTCTTACAAGTGTAACATAAATTCTATTATTATTCGAATGTTGTTTTTAAATTATGTCCAATGCCATAGCATCTTCTGTGGGCAACTTCATTCTGTTAATTTTGCGTCACGGTGCGCGCGCATCGTAAAATTTCACTCTCATAAATTTTTCATAACGCGCCTAAAGAAGTATAACTTCAATAAATTATTCAATATAACAAAAAATAATTCGACGAAATAACGTCTTTAACAAACACATCAGTATTAGTTTCACGACACCATAGTAACGTAATATTTGCTATGGCCATGACCAGAGTCTACAGAAATGTTCCAGAATATACCCGTGTGACATAATTTTGCATACATAATATGTATGCAGAACGCAATATCTGACGAAACCGTTTAGCTCTTTAGCAGGTCAAAGAGTATAGATGTCTATAGCTGAAGTATTAAAGTATTTTGTTATATGTGTTTTTTTTCCTTTCAAATTATCGTAGACGCGCGAAAAGGATCTTAAAATTTCCTTGAACTCATTAATTTTATGTTGCAGATATCTTGTAGGATGTACTAAATGTCAAACTAAATGTAATATTTAAATATACCTACTGTGGCTTAGGGGTTATCAAAACAGAAAATTATTTACTTATTACCCAAATATCGAAGTTGGTTCAGCCTTGAAACTGCAAATATATACATATATGAGCAGCTTATACTATAAGTTTCGTTAAAAAAATATTAAAATCAAATAAGCTGACTACAAATTGGTTTTAAATTTGAATACTAACTTAGAGACCCTAATCTCTAGCAAATTATCTATAATTAAATCGAGGAAATGTCAAAACAAATCGTTTAGAGTCTGAATGAAGAAATCTGATAAAAACTATGGTTTTATAAAATGGACCCGACAAGCGTTGTTTTGCCATGTATATTATTTCTAGGAAACATTTTTTAGTTCAATAAAAAAAGTATCTACTATAATAAAAAATAGGGGTTCATCGTAGTGGGGTGAAAATTAAGGGTTTTATGTATTTTTTAACGCCACATTATAAAAAAATGTATCCAAAAAATAAAAATTGGGATGGACACCTCTTATCATTAAGGGGGTTGAAAGATAGATAGTAGCCGATTCTCAGACTTACTGAATATGCATAAAAAAATTCATAAGAATCGATCGAACCGTTTCGGAGGAGTACGAGAACGAACATTGTGACATGAGAATTTTATATATTAAATATTATATCCGGTCCGCTACTACTATACATCCATCGTGCATCTCCAATCTCGATCCACTTATAATTATTATTAAATGAATCTCTATTTCGGACACGTTTTACGTAACACCAAAAACTACGAGCTTTCACTAACCATACAAGGCAAAGTGGCAGGTAGGAGGCTGGAGGAGACCTGGCCGCAGACGCACGTCTTGGTTGAAAAACTTAAGGCAATGGTTTGGTCAAAGCACCAAGTCATTGTTAAGAAGCGCGGCATCCAAAATTATGCCATGATTATCGCCAACCTTCGCAAGGAGATGGCACTATAGCCACTATAAGAAGAAATAAATCTCTAGTCCATAGAGAAAGCAATCTCACAGCTAGCCCCAGTTAATTAACGTGCAAATCAGGACAAGTGGAAAACCACGGGTGATTAGCACTTACATGTTATCCCTTAAATAGGTCATTTCATTATTGTACACGTCCTCCCAGTGACCGCTTTTATTAATTACTTTGTATTGTGAATGAAGTTAGTATGAAATTATTCAGCAATGCCTATTCAATTTATGTATGGTTTATTGTAACGTTATTGCAGCTATAGATGTATGGAACATGGAGGTTGTCATCATCAATGTAACTTATGGGTGTTTTATTGCAATTCAAATTTATGGACAACACGGAATAAAGGTACCTGTGCCACCCAGTATGGGGTTTCGACAAGGAAGAGCGCTTTTAGTTCGGGTATAGGCATTTGAGCTCCAAGTCTCAATTTATGCCCCATGTGTCATTTCACAGACCCGGCGCAGAAATCCAAAAGGAATTTTCCCTTTCTAAACAATGATCTAATAGTGTTCTAAACGTAAAAGTAACGTTCCGACTCTATCATATTGGAAACTAACTGGAGCCCGCGACTTCGTCTGCGAAGGATTAAATTAATATTTGTTCAAATGATGTAGTGTGAAAGACATATTGTATCTACTTTTAATACCAAAAGCGATTAAAGTATCTATTTTCATTTAGTAATCAATTTATTATTACCAAATGTGCATTTGAAATAAATTATCAATTTTTTTTGTAGTTATGGATAGATGTATAGTGTGGCGAGCTTTTTTGTAGGACTATTAAAGATAAACATTTCTATCATACATTACATATTATGTGTAACTCTAGCGGTTTTGGCAGCGCACGCCTCAATAGCTCGCAGATGGTAGATTTTTTCTTACTTACTTGATATTTTTGACAATTCAAACAATATTTTTATAAATTGTAAAGTTTCATTAAAATCCATTCAGTAGTTTTTACATGAAAGCGTAACAAACATCCATCCATACTTACAAACTTTCGCATTTATAATATTAGTAGGATATGTATTTTGAATTATTATGAGTCTGAAAGTCCATGGCAGTTCCACACATTGGTGGTAAAAACTTGACGTTTCGTAGTTTTTTTGTAAAGTTAATTAAAGACTGAAGGGTTACCATAGTATGTCTCTATAGATAAAGTAGAATTCCAAGTTTATAGAAACTACACCTAAAACCTAAACTACTAGGATTCTACACCCTAAACAACCTTACGAAAAATTTGTCGGATTTGACTAGTATATATCGCCGCATTCTATTTGTAACATCGATTTAAATTTTTAGGCCAACCAAAAGCAATTTCTTTCACGTCAAACTTTTATCCAACCTACATTTTCAATCTACTTATTCCATCGTAAATCAGACAAATTTCGTGACAAAAGACGTTCTTTAAATTGCATTTTCATTCCAAAAATTGTATTTCGATCGTATTTGGCTTATAGTTTTCTGTAAAGCGTTTTCGTCATCAAACACGCGAGTCACCGATATCGGCTTGTAGATTTATTTTCGTAAAGGAAACCTAAATGTCTAGCTTCAAATTAGTTTGAAAGTTCGGATCGAGTTGGTTCTTTTTCTTTTACTATTGGTGACATACCTAGAAGTTATAATGAGTTGATGAATGAGTAATTTATTTATAATAGAGTTGTCTTTTGAATATCGCCTAGATTACCCGCCATCAATGAAAACTTGAACTATTAGATATATGTTATGTCTAAGTAACTAGTGTTGGCCTAGTGGCTTCAGCGTGCGACTTGCGTCCCTGAGGTCGTAGGTTCGATCCTCGGATGTGCACCAATGGACTTTCTGACCATGTGCGCATCTAACACTCTTTCGTACGGTGAAATAAAACATCGTCTTAAATGTAAAAATCGATGAAGTGTATCGGAAAGAAACCTGATTTATTAAATACAAATAAACGGATACAAGGAATCGGAGGCGCCACTGGATTATTATTATTATATATATGTTATATATAATAACTAGACATGATAGTCTGAAGTAAGTATTTGATAGTCTTCTTTGGTATCGTTTAAGGAAAATTTTTATATCGATACATTCAATTTGGTAATGCATCGTGTGTAGATACTATTAAGTAATCAATTTAAGCTAATTAATTAGCAGGACACACACAGGACTCCAATTAAGCTGAAATACGCGCCATTTCTATACGGTATCGTCGTGTACAAAAGTTATTTGGAACTAGACAGTATTTTAGATTTTGCTTCAATGTAGTTATGTATGACGTCCGAAATTAGTCTATATTTCTTTATTTCATTCGTTATTATATGAGATCAATCAACATTTACTAAATTTCAATCCCATACAAAAACATATAAAATTAACTGCGGACAACACGGGGTATTTACAGACGAGGAATCATTCCATATGCACATTTCACAAATAAAGACGAAGGTCCAGCACTGCAATTCTCATGCACACAATCTTGCATTCAGAACACATAATCTAGTCGTCTAGAATGTCATAATACTTAACTGTACATCTGAAATTAGCGCCATCTAATTTTGGAGCTTGCATGATTTCAGCCATCAATATCCATTTAAGTTTATTTGTTACTATACCTATTTAAATATTTATTATAATTCAAATTATCTGTATTATATTATTTTTTGTACAACGACTACCTAACTACTATTGATATTGATGTGACTCTAATACGGTTTCGTTTAGATAATTCAATCTGAATTCCTTCAAGTAAGCTTTACTAAATAAAAAAATAAAAAAAAGAAAAAGACTTTCCACGCGATATTACAAAAGCCATTATCCAGTCGCAGACTATGGCATATTGATCTAGCTGCATTACTGTGCACATCTACAGCCGCTCGCTTACAC